CCAACCGATGAGTCTGACATGCATTTGCTGCAAACTGATGGAAAAGCTAGTTAAAAAATCAATTGCATCGCTCGATACATTCCGCTGTCACATCACTTCAGTTCAACATGGCTTCTGCGAAAAGAGGTCCTGCCTCACAGACCTGCTTACGTCACCTGAAAATTGCTCAAAGGCCATGGATGAAGGACATCCAGTAGATGTCATTTACTTCGACTTCAGCAAGGCATTTGATTGCGTCCCACATAAGCGCCTCGTTCAAAAGTTGTCAGAAGTAGGCATAAAAGGAAATCTTCTGAACTGAATGCAAGATTTCCTAAACGGTCGTAGACAATGAGTCACTGCAGATGGCTACTGCTCAGAATGGGCACCTGTTACAAGTGGAGCCCCACAGAGGTCAGTTCTTGGGCCGCTCCTATGTAAATGACCTAGTACGGGAAGTGAAATCGGACATAGCGCTCTTTGCAGACGATCTTAAACTTTGGAGAGCGATAAACATGAAGATGTCGTCAAGATGCTACAAGAGGACGTAGAGAATTTGCACGCATGGAGCGAGAAATGGTGCATGAAATTCAACGTAAAAAGTGTGCAGTAATGCACGTAATATCAGCGAGGCGAAGAACAAATGCACCCTCACGACAGTATCCCCTGCGCAATCAACCACTTAAAACCGTAGATATGCAAAAAGACCTCGGTGTATTCATTAAAGACCATCTAGGCGTTACTACGCAGTGTCCTAAAGTCGCTGCGCTGGCAATGTCAGTCATGAGCGCGATACGCAGAACGTTTATTCACTTGAATACAGATGTTTTTGGCAAAGTATACGGGACATTTGTGCGGCCGCACCTGGAATATGCAGTACAGGCTTGGCGGCCGTGGCTTCGGAAGGATATAGATATCCTTGAAGGTGTACAACGGCGTACTACAAAGGCTGTTCATAGCCTCAAAAATTTCACGTACGAGCAGCGCCTGACGGCCTTGAACCCCTATCCCTTACACTACAGGCAGGACGGAGGTGACCTCATAGCAACGTCCCAGTTGGTACGAGGACTTAATCTGGATGTCGACTGGGAAACGTTTTTCGAAACGGCACCCAAGTCTAATTTCGGACGACATGATCACCAGCTTAAAAGGGAACTGTGCCACACAAATCAACGTCCTTCCTTTTTCTCACAGAGGGTCATTCGCCAAAGGAACTCTTTGCCGCAGTATGTTGTTAATTCCCCTACCGTGGGTGGGTTCAAGAGACAACATAATACTCACCTGCTGAAAGACAACCCGAACTGTCGATGCCTGATCTAGCGGATTACTGAAATGACTATAAACATACTACTAACAGGATTTCAACAGATCCTTCTTTTGCGTAAAAAATAACCCATATGGAAATTTTCACAGTCCGAATGCGGTGAACAAAGCTTTTCGCAATTATTTCGTAATTACCATACCCCTTTCGCATTTATGTTCCTTTATTAGATTTATGAATTCTCCCTACTAAAACTGCAAGCAAGGGTTTTGCAATTTAACTATTTTCCCTTCTGTACCGTTTAAATGGAGTTTTCAGGGCTTCTGTCGTTTCCCCCAAATATACTGACTGATGATGTCGACTGGATAGACTTCTTTTTCCAACAACCGCGTCTTCTTCTTACGGGACACATTTTCGCTTCTATCAGCGCTCTGCTGACGTAATCCATCTGTCCATGTCTGTCAGCGACTGCCCAACAGTGGTCCTCATTACCCGCGATAAAAAAAACTAGCATGCTGGGCAATTTTGTGCGCTTTTCGCCGTCGATGATTGCGTAGTTAGTTAAGCTGAGGGGTGCGCTTTTATGCGCACCGGAAGTGCTGTCCTATCGCAATTTTTCAGCGGAGACGACGGTACACTAGTTGCTGTAGGTGGCCCGATCGTTTGTCATGTAGGCTTGGTCTTTTAAAGACCGCGTAAAATGCCGGTAGGCATTTACGCCTCGTCAGATGTGTCGTGGAAGGCGCTTCAGCGCCGATCTGGCATATCGCAACACGCTCTTTTCTCTCTGGTATGCATTTCCATGCCCAGCATTTCCTTGGTGATAGATAAGCAAGCCGCAGGGATCCTTCTTAGTGCACAGCGCTTGATTCATACTTTTTTGCCGCAATCCAGTAAAGTCATTTTAACGGTCTGCAGTTTGGTTCGAGAAGTATGAAAGCGCACTAACAGGTGTCGTGCCGGGCCGTTGTCGTGGAATGACCTGTCGCAGTTGTAAGGCCTGGTTCGTGACTTGGATCAGCAGGCATTGGCGTGACGACGAATAATTCATATTGACCCAACTGTGAAAAACTCAGCGCCTCGGTGGGATTCGAACCCATTACGTTATTACCGACAAAGACAAGGGGGGACTGGTAATAACATACCGCCGATATCATGCGCCGCTGTGCGGCTGCTGGTTGGGCTCGAGAGAGAGAGAGCCCGTAAGGCACAACGGAACGAATGAGTTCCGTAAGAACGATCGCTGAGCGCCCCCTATAATTCGAACCCATGACAGTAAGGGGAAGGCTTTATTACAGCCAACGCTGTAGCCACCTGAGCTACGAGGCCCCACCGGAAGACGTGAGTTTAATCCCATCTGGGTCAAGTTACCCGCCCAATCTACTGCAAAGTCTGGAATCCGCCAAATCTGACACGTTAAGTTGACTGCCCAAGCAGGATTTCCTAAGTAATTCACCTCGAATCCACCAGATGACTACCAGGCCCCCGTCAGTAATAGATGTTTTGTCAGATTTTGAATAATTCATACTGACCCAACTGTGAAAAACTCGGGGATTTACAAATAAAAGTCTTTCCTTTACTGCGTGCGTTCAAGTCCCGCCGAGGCGCCGAGTTTTTCACATTTGGGTCAATACGAATTATTCAAAATCTGCCAAAACATCTGGGAATTACGTGAGCCTGGTAGTCATCTGGTGGATTCTAGGTGAATTACCTAGGAAATCCTGCTTGGGCAGGCCGGCAGAGCCTCGTAGCTCAAGGGTTTAGAGCGTTGGCTGTACTAAAGCCTTCCCCTTAATTCGTGGGTTCGAATCCCACCGAGGCGCCGAGTTTTTCACATTTGGGTCAATACGAATTATTCAAAATCTGCCAAAAAATCAGTGAATAATTAATAATCCAGAAGTGTTCACGGCACAGGCTGGGGAGAGCGGAGGGGTTCATAAAGCGGTTTTTACCATCCGATAGCTCGACTATCGTGACCGACGATGTCCACCGTATGCTTCGCAGCAGGTTGAGGGCAGGCACGGTGACTTGCGCGCGAAATAGTTTATATTGAGAGTGGACTTTCGCAGCATCTGCCGCACTCACTCCCCCCCCCACGTGGGCCCGATGCCAAGACGTAGTCAAGACGACCGGAGGTGGAAAAGGAGGCAGATAACTGGCACGGCTGGAAAACAAATACTTTACCAGGATTTTAACCAAGAAATATTAGGCGGGGAACGGCGACAGGGATCCCAATTGACGCAGCATGAGCCGGCAACTGGGTCTGCCACCGCGCCCCGAATGTTGGCATTTATTCTGGTTGCGCGATCCCGATAGCTCCTGCCAGAATCCATTCTGGCCCCCGTGTTGGTCCAGCGCGTCTACCCTGAGGTCCGGCTGGGACCAACAGTAAAATGGTAACATTGCGAGAAGCACCCACAAATCATTTTGTTCCCAAAACTGACGTGCAAATCGCGCACACTGGTGAGGCCAGAATGAATGCTTCTGGCTAACTTATTGCATCAATGGCCAGTACGTCCATGCCCGGCTCGGATCAGAACAACCCGATTTCCCGAAGGTCAGAAAATGGCAATCCAAGCACATGTAGATGCCCCTCCCCCCATTTGAGTTTTAGTGGTATTCATTCGGGTGTCAACGCCAACCGCAGTTGTGAGCAGGACCTATGATGGCAAATACTCATCCCTCATAGGCGCTACTACGATACCTAACATTTTGCGATAAAGCCTTGTTCGCGCTAAAAATTCTTTTTTGTTACTCTCTAACATAGGAAAATCTGCTCGATTTAAGCAACATTACTGAAATTTATTCAGAAAACCTGAACTTTTAATTTTGGTAAAGACCTCAAAGCGCGAAACGCCCGTTTTACTCTGACTAAACGCAGGAATCAGAAGAGGGGAATCAAATAATGAGAGAAAAGCGGTCATTAAACGAACTAACAGACAACGTTTGTAAACACAGGCGCAGAGCCAGAGAGAAAGAGCATCGGGAAGGAGAGAATCCGTGTCCGGAAATTACTAAAAACTATTTATTCCAGTTGTGATCCCGCCAATTCTGACCAAACTGGGAATCTGTCTGGACCCGCATACACGAACCTCAGTTGGCGGTGAGGAATTGAGATCATCTATCGCAGGTGGCCATGCACATACTGGACACAAATTTGCGTGGCTGAACACTCGCGTTGTTGAGGCCTGCCCAATAAGGAAGGACCGTGAATTCCTGGAAGCAATGCCCTCGGATAAGGCATGCATCAATCGCCACGTGCAAATTTCTCAAGGGGCAAACGCAGGAGGGTGAAACCAATGTCGGGGAGAGGACGAAATACAATTAACGCACATTTGCGCAGACGTCGGCCAATCGCAGAATCACTTGTTCCACATAGTAAAATTATTGACTATTTTTGTACATAAGCCGTGGTTCTGACAGCAAGGTGGAAAACCACTCTCGAAAATTTACACAACAAACGTTATTTTGTTTCCAAAAATCTCACCGATTTCAATTTACACTCTTTGGAATGCCTGACCTCCAATAAACAAAAGTTGGCATTTCTCATTCAAAACGCCCGGTCATATAATTGTGGGACAGACTATAGATCAGCGATGAACGTGACGATCGAAGATAAGAAGTCATCTCTAATAACCGCCACAGTGATTCCCAACTTCCGCCTAATGCACTACCACCCGTCTCCGACCAAAATGTTCCCATAAATAGACACTCAAATTAGGCGCAAGCAGTATATTTAAGGCAGCATTACAAGGCAGATTCATTCAGGCAGATCCCACACTCGAGGACGGCGTCTGCCGCCACACGCCGCCATACAGTCCTCCATGGTCTCGAAGCGATTCGGATTGCCACCGCAACCGCCATACACGAATTCCTCACAGGCACCCAACCTGTAATTGTAGGCAAACATTGGAATCCTGGCTCTGCACATGCCAGTCCTGACCGGCATGAGGCAGGGGTCCAGTCGGCCTAAAAATCAGAAGGAAGAGGGGATATGAGAGTCAGATAAGGATCAAAGTCGTCTCTTCATGCAGCTTAGAATTTGCTAATTTGTAAGTGGAAGTTGGAGAGGACAAGTCATGTGAGGTAGATGAGGGCGTTTCGAATGGAGACGCATACAGGTATGAAGAAGGAGACACGACCGCTGTCTCCTTCTTCACGACCGCTTCCTGGTACTAGTCTCTTCGCTCATATACGCATGCAGGTGTTGGACATGACGTCATGTAGAGCTCATAGGAGTCTATGTACTACTAAATAAGCGACTGAGTCTGTGGATTTTAGGCTAAACGATGTGAAATTACAGAATCGTCCACAAAATTACGTATGCAACTCACCCTCGACTGTTAGCACGGAGAGAAGACAGGCGATGAGGAGAAGAGCGATCATCATTTAAAATTTATTACTGCCGCACCCTCAGCTTATGTATTTATATGCATGTTTAGTGTGTGTCGTTATAAAAAAGGCAGTAATTTGTCATTGGTAACTGGACAGGAAGTAATTTTCGGACGGGGAACTCAGTCATTGCATAGTACGAGACAGCATAATTGCTCGAGATTCTGTGTGTGCTGCCTTTACGAGAAAATGCAGTTAAGATTGTCAACTGGCCAGATTATTGCGACGGGCGGAGAAAAAACTTCAAAAGGCCACTGTCCCTCCTCGGTGATGTAACCCTCCGCGCCCTTCCGCTCTCCCCACGCCCCTGGCACTGACTGCTATTACCCTTCACAGCCCCCTTCGCGTTCCACACACCCGGGCGGTGTTTTAAGACTTACTTTAAGCCATTTCTCTTATCACTGACATGTTTTACCTTCTACCCCGTTCCTATATAATTGTACTGGCCCGGGGAGGATTAACCGAATGCTACGTATGCTCGCCACCTCGTCTTCTGATTACTGCTTTGGGAATTTTCGCAACTCTAGTTGTGATTGATGAAGTCTAGCAGATTGTGTCGGAGTGGACAGAGTTCGCGCCCAGTAAAGTTGACTATTAAGGGTCTATACGATCAGCTGCAAGGAGCCAGCATAAGGGAGGTCGGTTTCGTGGCGGTGGCGATGCGGTAAGATCTTATTTCGCCGTCCCACCTGTTAGGGGTTAGGGTTAGAGGTTAGTGTTTGGGGTTAGCGTTAGGGGCTAGTGTTATGGGTTATAGGTTGGGGTTAGGGTTAAAGGTTAGGGGTTAGGGCTTAGGGTTAGGGTCATTGTTAAGGGCTATATTTGGGGCTTATAGGTTGGGGTTAGAGTTAAAGGTTAGGGGTTAGTGTTGGGGGTTTGAGTTAGGATTAGGGGTTAGTTTTAGGAGTTGAGGTCAGGGTTAGGATTTAGGAGCTAGGATCAGGCATCAGGGTTAGGGGCTAGTGTTCGGGGTTATAGGTTGGGTTAGGGTTATAGGTTAGGCGTTAGGGCCTAGGGTTATGGTCATTGTTAGGGGCTAGAGTAGGGGGTTATAGATTGCGGTTGGAGTTAAAGGTTAGGGGTTAGGCTCATGGTTAGGGGTTAGTGTTGGAGGTTTAACTTAGGGTTAGGGTTCAGGGTTGGGGTTAGGGTTAGGACTTAGGAGTTAGGGATTAGTGTTGGGGGTTTGAAGTAGGGTTAGGGGTTATTGATAGAAGCGAACAGGCGAGTTCCATGTAGCAGTTCAGCAGACGAAGATGCCGTCACTGGAACAAGAAATTTATGGGCCTGACGTTTCGGATTCTCACTCGAATCCATCATCAGAGACATTCGCAGATAGAGGTGAAGGTGGCACCAGGAGTGCAGTATTTATAGCACGTGGCTGCCGT